AAATGAGTTTAAACTTTCGGAGGCTAATCAGGACCCGATTTGAAACCGTTTGAACACTGTGGAGCGAAAATTTCAAATTTTGCATCAGTCTAGTGGAGGGGGTTTCTACACACTAAGATTTTGTTTCCGTGTTCGGTGAATTTTACCGAAATCAGAACAGCTGAACGTTCGGTAAAACTTTGACCTTCATTTTTTTTTAATTTGAAAATAGTTTCAAAACATGTTCAACTTTGTTTAAATGATCAAATCTTGTCATTTTAGTGGAGATTTAGTTTCAAAGAAGCTGCAAAGCAATTGAATTGAATTGCATAAATTTTACCGAACAGTTCAGCTGTTCAGATTTCGGTAAAAATTACCGAAGTCGGCGATGATTTCTAAGATTGAATGCTCATAAAATAAATCACATAACCAATGAACAATACCCATGTGAATTTCACATAACTTTCATGTGATCCCATAGTTGGAAATAGCACCACTAAATCACATGAACCTTATGTGTTCAATGAAATCTATATTAACATAGAATTTATTATGATTTGTGATAAAAAATCATTAATTTTGTTATTGGAAAAATATTATGTGCATTCCTAATAAAGGGCGAACACGAAATTATTGCGACACATTCAACAGGGCATAACTTTTTTACCATTGGGTAAAAATCAACCAAATTTTGCACACTTTCTCATTGATGTGTATTGTGTACATGCTGTCAAACTCGAAGTTGTGTTTTTCGATTCAACGAAAATGGAGGTGAACCAACGCGAGTTGAGAGAACAAATTCTTTCCAAACACCTGGAATTTCCTGACCTGTTGCACCGGCAGTTGGGAAAAATGTTGAACATTCACCATTCAACCGTCTCCAGAGTGTTGAAGCGGTTCCAGGAGCGGTTGACGTTGGACCACGGCAAAGGAGCTGGAAGAAAACCGGGACCGGAGAACAAAAAGACGGAGGGAAAGGTGAAGCGGATGATTAAAGCAAATCCCAACGTCTCAAGCCATGATTTGGCTAAAAAGATCGGCATGTCGCAGAGCTACGTCCAGAATGCAAAGAAGAGAGCTGGACTACATACATACAAGGTACAGAACTTTCCAAACCGCGATGAGCGGCAACAATCGACGGCTAAAACTCGGGCACGGAAGCTCTACGAGAAGATGCTGACAAAATATGGCTGCTGTGTGATGGACGACGAAACGTATATAAAAGCCGATTTTAAGCAAATTCCGGGGTTGGAGTTTTTCACCGGCAAGAGCAAGTTCGATGTGGACGACAAATTTAAGAAGAAGAAAATGTCGAAGTTCGCCTCCAAATATCTCATTTGGCAGGCCATCTGCTCTTGCGGACTGAGGAGTGAGCCTTTCGTGACAAAGGGCACAGTAAATGGCGAGATCTACAAATCTGAGTGCCTCGAGAAGCGCCTTTTGCCGTTCTTGCAGCAGCACGATGAAGCTCCGCTATTTTGGCCAGATTTGGCATCATGCCACTATTCTAAAAGTGTCCTGGAGTGGTATGAGGCCAATTCTGTCCATTTTGTTCCAAAGGACATGAATCCACCAAACTGTCTGGAGCTGCGCCCGGTGGAGCAGTACTGGGCAATAATGAAGCGGGAACTTCGGAAGAGCAAGAAGACAGTCAAAGACGAGAAGGACATGTTAAGAAAATGGAAAAAAAAAACTGAGAAACTGGTACCGGATGACACTGTAAAGACTTTGATGGAGGGCATCAAGCGAAAATGCGTACAATTTTACACTCAAGGCTCCATCGATTAACTTTTCTTTTGATTTTTGAAGTAAATATATGTATAAAACTACCTTAAAATTTTGGTTTGATTCTAAACATTATAAGAAAATTGGCATGACATTTTCGGTGTCGCAATAATTTCGTGTTCGCCCTTTAGAAGCTGTGATTTTTTTTTAACAATGTAGGTTTTTTTTTGGCTGCGCGGTCCTCTGAGAACAATTAACGGAAAACAGATTATGCTTAATTTCCAATCGATGTTGATAAAACAACGGCAGTGACATCTGATGGAAAATGAATCCGAAAGCTTGACTAAATGATTAATTCTTAAAATTACAGTGATAATCTCGATTCTGTCAACACGACGCTAAGGTATTCAATCTAAACATACACAATGCTCTCTTATCTAACTAAATGTTTGATATTTTTGTAAGTATTTGGAATGTCGAAGAAAGACGGCTCACAGTTTTGCGAATAATTCATCTTTTGGAATTCCAAATTAACATAAATTGTGTGTTGTCAAAAGCGACATCTGAACGTATCTCACTTTGACATGAAGATTTACTCCAGAAAATCGCACATTTTCTGCCCAATCGCCTTATTTATTTTTTATGACATGATGGTAGCTTTCTTCACATCGCTAGAAACCAACAGTGAATTATCGTACAAATAATGTGAAAATGGTAATTTTTACAGCATTCCTAAATTTGCACAATCAGTCCAACAAAGAACCAAAACCATTGAAACACGATAATGCTTACTACTGAAGGATGGAAAACATCAAGTGAACGATGCAAATGTGACGTGAAATCCACCCAATAATGATCGCATTCACTCTAGAAGGATGATCTAGCTATGATTGTGATGGCACACAGTCTAAAATTGACAATCACAAAAATGATTAATTCACCTCCGGTTACTACTTGTGGAAGGTTCACTGGCTGCCACTAACAGATTAACATTCTAACGACATAGCATGACGCTCCCTTCGGTCAGGAGTAGAAATAGAAAATAGAGGAAATATATTCAGGTCGTGAACGAGTATATTGGTGTACTGAGCTTGAACATGATGGATAGAAGAATATGTGGATAGAGGAGTGAAGTTTCTCAAAAGAAGGGAAAACTGGAGAAAGGGATAAAGAAAAGCTACACAAGTTTCGATAGAAATAATCGTTCTCTTATTCAACTTCATCAGCATAATAATAGGGTTTTTTGTGTGTATAAAACTATTTACTACTACAACAAAATAAAATTAGTAAAAATAAAAAAAAAATCATCTTAATCTTCTTTGACCTTTCGGGGGTAATTTTTTGCGTATTTAAGTAGGTTTATCTCAATAATCGATCGACAGAAATGGTGCTTCGGTGAATTTTGAGGTCCGTACAGGGTAAAGCAACGCACTTTTTGTTTTACAGTTTGCTTGCCTATTGACTATTTGTTATAATCTCGCCGAGTCACGTACACTACACTTATAAAAATAACAACGCACACATACGGGGAACAAACTGGTTCCAAATTATACGGGAACATTCACGCATGCTGCACGCACTCACGCACACTCACACATAAACAGCACAGCCGTAGAGGTACAGAGACAGAAACAGGAAGGAAGAGGGGGAACGGTCCTACTGATCGGCTTGCTTCGTCGTTGAAGTCGCTTTTTCCGTCGAGTTTCCGCCGCCAGTCGGTGGTGGTGAAGGTGGATTGGGAGGAGGAGCAAGTTTCGTCTGGGACGAGGGCTTCATAACGGATTGCAGTTCCTGGCTCAGCTCCCGGAAGGAAAATGGCGAGTAGCGATTGGCTCTAGGAGCGATCGGACTGCCACCGAGGGAAGTTGTCGGAGGGGAGGGGACTTGCAGTTCCTGATCGGAAGACTTTTTCGACCCCATTCCAGCGAATAGGGACTGCAGGATGCGATCGCAGAAGCTGGCATTCTCTTGCTTTGGCACAAGGCTCCAGGATTTGGAGGTGGATTTGCACTCAACGTCGACATCGTCCTTCTCGCCTGCTTCTGCCTTCGTAAGGGGATTATCGGGAATCGCTTTGGAGGTTGGAGATCGGGCTGGACTGACATCGAAGCCGATCTTGAGCCGTTGTTCACTGGGCTTTGCTATCACAATTGCACACTCACTCTCCGGAACGGCTTCTGCCGTTGTCTTCCCGGTTGCGTCGGGTCTCCGTGCGAGATTCAGTTTCATCAGGTGACCGGGACTTTTGCAGGGGGATTCGAAACTAAGTTGCTTATCACAAATTGACGAGTAGTAATCTATCGACAGAAGGTTTTCGTTCGAAGCAGTCGGAGGTTGTACGATGGGGACAGTTGGGGGATGTTCTACAACAATGGGAAGAGTAACCATCGCCGCTGCAGCTGGTTCGCGCAGGGTAACGTTCGAGTGGGTTAACGTCATAATGTCACTGCTTTGGGCTAGGACTTCCTTCAGATTTTGATCGCTGCGCATGTTGCGCAGCCACCGAAGTTTGTGGAATCTACCCTTCCCACTTTTTACCTTGGCCTGAGCGGCTAGCGACGCTCCGGAGCATGCACTGGCACTGGAACCAAACTCCCGGGACATCAACGCAAAATTTCGGGTTCCGTTCGCTTTCAACGACTTCTTTTTCTTCCGCTTAAGCCCAATCGACGACCAAGCGTTGCGATTAGTAGAAGGAACGGCAATCGTACTGGTGGGTGAAATTTTGGTTGTTAGTTCAGAGGAGGCAGAGGAAGGAAGTGATCCATTGCTGTTACTGCTGTTGTTTCTCACGAATGACCGCGTTTGCGTTGGCAACCGTGGAACGGACACTCGCATAGTAAGAGAAGCAGAACTTAGCACACCAGAAGAAACGGCAGAATCAACAGCAGGCACTACCAAATGAGGTTTACCACTACTACTAGCACTACTAGTTGCGAATGTTGTATTAGCTAATGATTGGTTTAATTTTGAACTGCCAATTGTTTTACTGCTATGTCTACGACTACTTCTACTACTACTACTACTGCTACCACTACTCCTACAACTATCATTATGGTTAGGTTGCGCGGCTATTTTCGGCTCGGTAACGTCGCTTTGGCTGTTGCCTTTGCTGCCGCCACCCGATGGCGAAGTAGAAGAACTAGCACGAGTAGGAAATTGAAGAGGAGCGGAAGCGGGAGCAGGAGCAGGACGCCCGGGACCAGAAGGGTCACTACTGAGGCCGGCACAACTACCGTAGTAATAGTTATCGTTTCGATAGTACAGGTTAGCATTATCGGGCGCTAGACACTCACCGGAATCCCATCCTTCCTCTTCGGTCGACGATTCCGAGCTGGACGTTTCCGAGTACTCGAGACAGTGGTGGTGATGGCTGTCGTCCACGTAGTGTTGCTGCTGCTGCTGCTGTTGTTGCTGCTGGCTGTTTTCATGCGCCGCCTTGAAATACTGCTGCTTATCGGTAAGATTTTGCTGCTGCTGCTGCTGTGGATGATGATTGTTGTGGTGGTTATTCTGCTGCGGTGGCAGTGAGTTCTGTTGCTGCTGTTGTTGCAGTTGATGATGGTGTTGTTGTTGTTGTTGTTGCTGGTCATGCTGCAGGAAACCACCGGGTGAGCTATTATGATGTTTGATTATCGTTGGTCGGTAGGCGTCGCTGCCTATTTGTCGATGTGGAGGTTGCTGCTGTTGCTGCAGGAGCTGTTGTTGGAGAGGCGAGTGATGCTGTTGAAGCAGCATCTGCTGGTGCTGGTTCTGGGAATATAAATGGGCTTGCCGGTTGTTTTCCATGGCGCAGGTTATTAGAGAAGACGTCGTCTTCAGGCTAACGCTGTCCGAAAATCTACCGTTTGGTACCCTTCGCAGTACTAACGCAACCTGAAAAAGAGGAAAGGAACGATTAAAATCAATTTGATAGTTTTAGTTCAAGAAAAAAGGGGGATTTTGTCCGCATTATTGAAGTAGTACTACGAGATTGGTTTGGTTGCTCCACTCAATAAAAATAATAAAATTAATAAATTTAATATGTTTTCTAGGGGCCCCGCTTAACTCAATCGGTAACGGTGCAGCAAAACCATGCTGTATGAGGCTAGTTCCGATTCCTGATTCGGTCTAGGATTGGAAGAATAGTGGCGTACTAGTGCCACCTAATGGGTGAATTCTGAACTGACCTGTCCATCATCCAATAGCTTTTATTAATCTGAACAACTTTGCTGAAGATAGCAATCTTCTATATAGGGGAAACACTCCTATAGTTGGTATGGAGACTCAATACACAACTATAGGAACCTAACGCTTCTAACGTACCGCAACCACTATGATTGTGGTCCTAAAATTGAACTTAGAAAATGGTTTACAGAAAATTTAAACAATAAATCAATCTTGTAAAAATTGCTAGAGATAGTAATTTTAGTTCTTTAATTTTGCACGGAAGAGTTTTTTCGATTGCGCGCTGCGTTATTTTGTAAAAAAATCGATGAAGTGAGTCATTCTAAACCGATGAATTTTGACTGAAAGAAACGATTTTTTCGTCGAGCAATTTTGGCGCGTTCCAGTCTTTAGATTTAATTGTAATCCTCCGTCAATAACCTTTTTCCATTGAATTCGGAAAAATGCGATTAATTATTAATTAACTCTTCGGATTATAATATGTTGTGCCATAATAGTAGAAGTTGCGTCCATTTAATTTCGTTTCAGCAATCACAGGGCTGGTAGTGGATATCTAATATAATAGTAGTGACTTTAGTGACTAAAATAATGAAAATAGTGACCAAATAGTGACTTTAAAGCAATCTTTTTTTTTTTTTCATTATAGTCACTTTAACACTCTTGGGTTATTCGTGACTTGTCCGGGGGTGAGATTTGAACTCGTGACTTTGGCGTGAGAGGCATGTATGCTAACCTCTACGCCGGGTCCGCCCCCACTTTAAAGCAATAAAAAAGTGACTAATAGTGACATTTAGTGATCGAAAAAAAATGGTTACAGTATTTCGTTGACTGCGACCCACTTCGAGACATTTTATAAACTCACAATCACAACCCATCCTGAACATTTTTCATGCTCCTTTAAAATAAAACAAATAATGGTTTACCGATCCCATAAATTTGCCTCGAAAAATTATCATTTATTTATTATACAGGAACCAGGAATTCAGGAAAACCGGGAGAAAGGCGCAAATTCGAAATCACCGGGAAAAAATCGGAAAAAATCCGCGAATTTCGATGACAAACCGGGAAAAATAAGATTATGGACCTTTAAACATTTGCAAGGCCTCTAGACCGGAAAATATTTTCAGGATACAGTCACTTTAATGAACTAAATTTTATGAGATTTTGAAAAGATTTAAGGATGTATTCTGCAGATAACAACAATGTTTTTCAGAGAACTCCAAGTCATTTGTTTTGGGACGTCAGACGTTCAGAATATAATATTTAGGTAGTTCTTTTGGAAAATTCATGGCGATTGTGAAGCGGATTCCAGGTCCATTTCAAATGAATATTCGAAATAAGTTCTTAGAAGAATTGTGATGGAAATTCAAAGGAAATTATTAGAAAATTTAAAGATAATATCAAGCGAATTCTGAAGAGAGTTTCATGGATCTCACAGTAAAAACCAAGGGAGTCGAATTTTGAGGGAACAACCCAAGTAACCAACAAGCCCGTTAATCGCCCTTTTTGGTATATAAGGCTGCTATACGACTGATATAAAGTTCGGAAACCCTATATTTACCTTATATCGCAAAAAGAGCGTAGTTAGCGGGCTTGGTGGTTACTTGGAAATTCCAAAGGAATTCTGAGATGAGTTTTATAAGAAATCCAAGTTTAATTCCAAGAGCATATCGAGAAGAATTTCAAGGGTATTCTGAGGAGAATTCCAAGCGAATTTTCAGAAGAATTTAGTGGAGAGCTCCAAGATAGTTATGAGCAAAATTGTGTGATAATTCTGAGGATAATCGCATGTAAATTATAAGGAATATTTAGACTAATTCTAAATAGAATGTAAAGAGTAAGTTTAATTAAGTTTTTTTCAAAGCGAATCTTATGATGAATTCTTAGATTTTTTTTCTGAAATGCTGTATAGACAATTTCAACGGTCTCTCGGAGAGAATCTCAAATTAATTTTAGAGAAACTCTGACAATAACTCTGTGATAGGAAATGATTCTAAAGGAAATTTGAGAACATTTCATGAAATCCTGTAAAGAGTTTTGAGCGAACTTTTTTCAATATAGTTAAAACATCGAAAATTTTAATAACTTCTTGATAAGAAGCTAACATTTAAATTAAGCATATATGCGATTGAGCCTAAGAGATCACTAAGCTAAATGGGTTATAATTAAGTTATCAGAAATTTCCCTGGCTCAAATCAACCGGGAAAATTACCAAAATTTTGGGAAAAAATCTCGGTCCAAGAAAAAATCTCATTTTTCTGGAACGAGGAAAATTTTCCAAGATGGAGCGATCGTGAAAACACACGGCAAATTAATCTGACTCATATTTGAGTCAAGTTCACTTAAATTCGCAAAAACGTAAGTCACAGAAATGAGTAAATTTTTACTCCAAGATGCGTAATTTTCAGTCATATATGAATAAATGGCATTCAAATATCAGTCATATTTGCTCATATTTGAATAAAAATTTACTCTAATGCGAATTTTAGTGAACGGGACTTTTATATGAGTCAGATTTATTTGCTGTGCAAAACAGTTTGCATGCGTCTCGAACTTAACAATCTGGAAATCGAAAAAAAAATTGAAACATTCCGGGATATCGAAATCTCTAAAACAAACAAGTTAAGAAACTTGTGCGGTCCGGAATAATTTTCATATTTTGAATATGAAACTTACACACAGTCCTTGAAAAATTTAAATTAGTAAATTTTCCTAGACCATTTTTTGAAATATCTAAGACTTGGAATCACGAAGTAAAGAAGTCAGGATGTTGGAATCAGATTTTTTTTTATCGAAACCTCAGAAAATTTGCGATTAAATTTTCTTTTACTATTTCGAGATCACAAGGTAAAAGAAAAACTTAGAAATTTTATAATTTTGTCTGGAAAAAAAAATCGAAGAGAACGGACCTGGATGTATAAATCACGGATGAAAAAAATAAAAAATATTAGTGATTCCATCAGCACCAATTGGACAGTTCTGGTCTGTTTGCAACTCATCTTTGTCGGACTTTACACGCTGATTTTTAATGAAACTTTTTAACAATTTTTTTTTTTTTTTTTTTTTACCAAATCGAGCTGCTACTTGATGTGATTTTTTAAAGGAAAATTATTTACTCTATTTGGAGGCGAACCAGACCAAGGCTGAAAGCCTCCTTAATAAAGCTAAATAATAATAATATTTACTCTATATATTTATTTAAATACTAAATAAGTAACCATTTATATTGTAACTTAGAAATTCAAACACGGTTTGATATTGAAATAAACTTTTCATGTCATGGAACTTCAAATGAAATTTCATAAATTCCTCTAATTTTATCGAATTTCACAACGGAATCTCCTGTGAAGAGCAATTGAAGTGATTTGAATAATTTAATTTTGCTTACGTTATACATGATGACTAGCAAATAGTTATTCCCATTGTTTTATGATCTTGAATTTGATTCTGCGTTCGAAATCTTCACCCCAGAATTCTGTTAGAACTATCCGCAGAGACCATCTTTGGATTTTCATGGAATTTTCATCAAAGCCACCGTATGCAAGTTTTCAGACCTAAATTTGAATTCTTATTAGAATTGGACCTAGAATCCTCATCCAATCATCATAGAATTCTTCTCAGAACTCTCGTTAAAATGCACTCTCAATTATATTGGAATTACTTCCAAAATTGTTTCAAAGCTGAATTTTGCGTCTCTAATATCTTAAATAATAATCAAAAGCGACGCTCGTATGTGTTAAACCAAGTTTAACTATATAGGTAAACCTGGCTTAAGATTTAAGCGGAGAAGAAGAAATCGGTCCTCAGAGCACTTAACTTTACATGAGATTTCGTAGTCTGTTCTTTGGTATTCTTCTCTGATATAAGATATAGGTGTCATCCCTAGAATCTTTTAAAATTCTCATAAAATTTACTTTGGATGTTTTTGAAGTTCTTAATCATCCTTGAAAGACTTTTTTTTTAATTTATGACAGACCTTTCGAAAGTTTCAAAGGTTTACAATTTATTTTCTGGGAAAGGAGGTTAGGCATTTCCAATAGTTTTTCTGGTTTTCTAAAGTTTTGCAGTTTTTGGTCACCCTGCTTAAAATTTTCAATTTTTCAACAGATATGTATATTTTGTTAAAATTACTGTAGGCTTTCTTAGTGTCAAGTTCTCAATTTAAACTTTTTGTTGATATTTTTAATTTTCACTCTATTTTAGTAGTGAAAAAGTGGCTTTAGTGACTATTTTTAGGAAAATAGTGACTTTAGTGACTTTTTGGTGACTGGCTTCAAAATAGTGATCTGCTACCAGCCCTGCTAATGGGTTATATTTTATTGTCTGAAAGTTTGAAAGGGATCGGTCAACTAGGTAATTTTCTACAGCGTTTTTTTTTTTCGTGATGCTTTTTTAATGTGGGACACCCTTTATGTCGACAAGAGGTACATTCAAAGTTTGGCAAGTGAAGGATTGTAAACTGTATTTCCTTCAGCTAAAAAACTCTCATTTTCAACTTCTATTCAATTTTCATACTGCCGTACTCTAACGGAACTATCCACCTACTCTCTTCTAAAGATCATTCTCTAGCTAATAAATTATCACACTAAAGCTTCATGTTAGCATTTCCAACCAACTCTGAAAATCGCTAACTTCGCGTATGAAGTAACATAAAAACACTTTGAATGTAAAAAAACAAGTTTTAATGACATTACCTATTGCAATATTAA